TTCATGGTATGTAAAAATAAATACAAATTAAAAAATTCCGCGAGTATATATATATATATATATATGTTAGGCTACATCCATATTTTCTACTCATGTATACAATATGACGTCATAGTAAGCAACATGACGGGAACTTTAGAGATAACGATTTCTAAAAATCAATGTTTAATGATTGATTAGAGGTTGTAAAAGGAATGGAAGCATGCAAAAATTAATATTAACATAATTATAATGTTTTTTTTTTTTTTATTTTGGGGGGGGGGTCAAATTAGCTATATATTGATCATTAGCGTTAAATACCAAACCCACGGCGTCATAAAACTGTTGATCAATATTTGCAGACTGAAAATGAAGGCAGGAATTTATCTTAACAAGCAGTTGAAATCGGAGTTAAAAGCATTTAACATAGATATCATGTGTGAGTCATGCAAAATCAATGCTTATGAATAAGATATGCTTCTTTATCTTAACATATTCTTCATAAAATGATGACAGAGTTTTTACATTCCAATCAGTTTTTTCCTTTGCTGTTTGATTCGAAAAAAGATGCAAAAGTTCAACACTATGCCGCATATTATGAAACATGTTTTTCTTTCTATCGAAAGCTCTTATTCCATACTTTTTGAAAGTACTTCTAGAATCGCAGGTTAACATGAAGTGATGATTTTTTTTTTAAGATTTCATGTTCAGATTGTATAGATTTTTGTAAGGTTTCATCGGTAAGTGAAGAATAACTATTTCTGCCATAGGAGTATGCAATTCTAGTTGCATTTTTTAAAATCCTTGTGTTTCATCTCTCAGAATTTAACTTTTAACGTGACATATTGGTTACATCATATCACTGATTTCTGCATATTGTTGAAGATGTTCGTAATGATTCGGGCTTTCAAGAGTTCCGAGTTCAGTATATGCCGTATCGTTCCTACGAAGATGTTCGTAACTGTTTGGACTTTCGATAGCTCCTAGTTCTGTATAAGCCGATTGAACCCTATCAAAGAAAATATAAGAGTTTGCAATTTGTAACTTGTAAAGAATTATTAGAACCCATTGTGAAAGAGACAAAATAAATCTACGTACGAATCTGCTCCTCTTGACGCATCTGAAAAATAAATATTAGCTATTTTGAACTTATGTCAATTTTAATTGATTTAAAGAAGACGAAAAAAAAACATTTTTGAAGATGTTCCGAAAAAAAAACTGCAAACAAATCATGATTTCTTAAAACTTGTTCAACGTCCGATTCGAGAATTTTTTTTTCTATTGACCAAACAGAAACTAATCAACCCACACTAAAACTTCAGTCACTGAAAACAGAATAAATACTCGCCAAATACCTCGTTGATGTTTTCTATACGAAAAAAATATATATACATGTATATATACACATACATGCTAGGAATCATCCTCGGGTATGTAAACTGTTGTTCAAATCATGATCCCATCGGGGGAAGCGTGGGGTCACAATGGACGATAAAAATCTCATGAAGAAAAATCTTTATAGAGGTTATCTCAAGAATATGATGGTGAAATCTACATGAAAGGTGTAGATTAAAATTTGTTCAAGTTATGAACCATTGGAGTAAGATTGGAATAAAATGAAGTTAAATCTTATAGAGAAAAAGCCACAGAAAGCGAAAGAAATACACAGTATGTAAGCATCCCTCGTAGGGTAAGATTTAAGTTGATTAAAATCACTGCCAATCTTATATTATCTTAAATGTAAATTAGATCTTTCCAAATAAAAAGGTGTAAGTGAAATAGAAAAGCAGACTGCAGAAACTGAGAATTAGAACTCTTTTATTAAGAATCCTTGAACTGAAGCTGTTCATTGGTGTTGATTTTTCTCCATTTTAATTCAGTGAAAATTTCTTTAAAATAATGATTTGCAACAGTTAAAAGTTTATTCCGTATTTTTCCCTATTTCCCATACAGTGTATCTCCTTCTCTCTAATAATCTGGCAGAATTGTAAGCATAGGAACAATTTCGTATGTTTATGATAGGCCCATATACCGGACAGTCTCACATCCTTGACACGAAAAAGATTTTGGTTGTACAAGACCCGATGAGTACTTAATTAATCTGCGGCCTTTCTGTAGCAAATAGGAATTTGTTCTTGAAGAGAGTAATCACCCTGAGTTTAGATAATTTTGACTTACCCCTACCATTGACATCAGAAGGCAATCTCTGTCTGAAAAGAAAATTATGTAGTCAAAGTAAAGTTTTTGAACAAAAAATCAAAAAGGCAATTTCCTAAGGGTCTTAACTAGAATAAGAAAACATACCTTTCATTCACAATGTTTTCACACACTACAATAAGAAAAGAAGAGGAAACAATTAGTTGTTTTGAAGGGCAACATTCAGAATATGCCCTATAGTAATCAGTTTCTCTAATATGGCTTTTCTTTCTGATATATGTAGATCTAATCAGTTTCATTTTTTAAACTTAGCAATGAAATAGCAATATCATGATTAGTAATAAAGTTTTTAGGTATCCTAAACAAGACAAAGAAAGTGGGCGCTTTAGATGGCGATTCGGCAGGAATAGTGGCTCATAAAAAGAATAAAAAAATATCATTGATTTATACATTTTTTTCAAAACCTAGGCATTGACTGTGTCGTAGGTGAATGTAAAATGGGAAAATATTTGGTTGAATATGTTTGATTTATTCGAATATGGACCTGAATATAGCCGTACGAATCAAATGATGCAAAAATCGACAATTTTATAGCCGTTTTTCATTAATTTCGTTGTTTCTGGATCTTCTCTCCATGAATTTTAAATGCGTTATCAGTGTATTTTTAACCGTAAAATTTATTCCAGTTGTTAAAAAAATGGAGAGACGACCCAGAAATACCAAAATCTAAACTTTTCCCATTTATTTTCTGACAGAAAATTGACCAAGTCCAACTGTATAGGGCTTTGGCTTTAAATTGTGATTTAAATACCTGATATGTATAGTAGTCCTGTAGCCACATTGGTTTGTCGATGGATTCAAGCCACGTCGTAGTAGCATTTTAAGTTCGAATACAGTGATTTTTTTTAATTTATTTTTTTTTTCTTTTTGCTTGAAAATTTAGATTTGGTAGTAAACATTACTCCTTGAATAAAGTGGCAAAGTATGTTTTATAAATTATTTTACATAGTTTTATTTTTCAATACGTTCACATTTTGTCATTTATAGTGCTAACGTTCCAAAAAAGAAATGAACATACATGCAAGAATTTGTAGCTACTAAGTTACACGTAATGAAAAAAATATCAAATATATTTAAAAGAAAAAATAATAACTTCGATCGTTCTGTTACATTCAATATTTTCAGTGCATTTGAAAAATGATCACAACAATTACATACTGTTAGACTTCTATTATATTTTATTGAATGTATCCAGCTTAGATAATTTATCTTTCATGACACCTTTAATTGAAAAAAGTATTCACAAATAAACAAACATAAGATAGAAATTCATTTTCATTGTCTGACGAGTATCTAGGTTCATTGTATAAGACATGTAAATGACTTGGTGTTTGGACATTTAAATCTCAATTGTTTCGTGTCAATGATTCCTGCCGACTGCCTATCTAGTGCACCCACTTTCTTTGAGACAGAGCAAAGACGAATATCTAAATATATTAATCGTGAGATCGGTCGCTATATAGGAATAAGCATCCCCTGTAGACCTGTAAACCGTACCCAACGATTACTCCTTGTTCTGATCGGACAAACAGAGTAAGTCGTAGACATAAGTGTTTAAATGATGGTATAACAATAGGTCTGAAAAATCAGTGAGCATTAGACTAACTGATAAATTGAAATTCCTGACAAAATCAGTGTATCAACCACAGAACTAAGTTATGATTTTAAAAGTAACAAGGTGCAAAGGTAGATACGTGTAGCATATGTTGACCCTGAGCTTTTTTTAATCGTAGACGAATGAAAATGTACTGCAAACATTCGTGTCCAGAGCACATTTTCTCGCAATTCTTGGGTACGGCTCTCGTCCGCCATGCCGGGTAAAACATACGACTTTAACATAATTAGTGTATTTAGTGACTGGTTCTTTACCATCGCACCGGAACAGAACTTAAACATTCAGTGCATAATGTCACGGTAGGAACAGACACGATAAAGAAATCTTGTTAGGATCATCAGGTTAAATTTCATTAATATATGTAATATATATTAATTTATATGAATATGTCTAAATTTGACGCCTTTCACTGGCATACGGTGAAGTCTCTATTTGAGTAGGAAATTTTATCTTGAACAACATACTATATAAATAGGAATCCATATAACGAATATTACTTCTTGAAAATGAAATAATTTTCTTGTTTCAGGCATGGTAGATGACGGATATTTCTCAATTTGAATTATTTTCCACCCCTCCTCCCTTGGCCTATATTCCTCATACTTCAGTAACTTGGTATTCAAAACTTAAAGAGCCTTATTTTTTAAAGAAGAATGAAAGGAATTTCAATTAACTAGAGATTGTAAAATGATATGAAGATCAATTCTACACCGATTTCTAATAAGTTTGAAAGGAACTTACTTTGATTTTTCTTTCGTATTAGGAAAATTATGACACATCCGACGAGAATGACGACGGTACAAACTACAACAATTATGATGATTGTATTGTCAGTTTCAGTAACACTAGCCTGCGATTGCAGCTGATCTGAAAGGGAAAGTAGAGAGCTGATTATTGAATAAATATTTGTCTTTAAATACAATTCAATGTATTTCATAAGATACAATGATCAAATATTATGTGTAACGGTAAGAACAATTTATAGGTAAAAATTTCATGTAAAAATTGAAGTACATGTAATCTTACATATTGCTTTGTTGTAAATATTGCTTAACTATAATTATTATATTTCCGTCAGTCTTCATTATATCTACAATTACATTTAGACCTCGTATTTTTTTTTTGTTTTATTCCAATTTTAAGTAAACCATGTTTATGTTGGTTAATTTCCAGATGGCCACTAATTTCTTTAGACTTCTTTATTTTTAACGAGACACATTTTAATACCGTCACCGCACAGCGGTCCGCTCCATCCCTCCTTACAGCCGCTGACACACACACCAGTGACCGGGTGACAGGTTCCGTTACCTCCACAATATGCCCGACAGTTACTCTGGCAGTTTATTCCAAATGATCCCACTGGGCACTCTGTTTATGATATCAAGGAAATTGAATGTAAACACACTATTGTTGGGGGATGTTTTCGTTTTTAAATGTTCATCAGTTAAATCAGCTTCTTTAACGTCGTACCAAATAATTTTGTCGAGTGACGGGAAACAAATGAGAAGGATGGGCTCCATTTATTAAAATGGTAATAGCAAGAATTCTTTCAGAACACGAATTCTATGATTAAATGATCACTGGGTAATCCCCTGCAGTCTTGTGAATAGACACAAGTTCGGTTAAAAATATATTGCACGGACTGATGTACGGATAAACAGGAAGTTGACGACGGATTCGTACAATATGAATCCCAATTTTTTTTTTTAATTATCAATGCCACCGCGAAAAGTAGGCGCCGGAAATTTCTCAAGGACAGACAATTAAGGGTAAACAATTAAACCCCTTGTCCTTCTACTGCGAAGCAATTGTAAATAACGCAGTTATGATAAGGCTGTCCGAAGACTTAAAATGCCTTGAAAATATACATTTTATTCCGAGCTATATTTTAATTTTAATATGTAATCCTTGTTTGAAATTGCAGTCAACTTGAAATAATAGTTTAGTCTGGTTTTATTTTGCAGCATTTTTTGTGATGTCACATGACCGTGTTGATCACGTGACGGAGATTTACTCGGTTAAAAAAATATTTTACGAGAAATTCAACTTACCAACATAAAAAGGGGTATTTTCCACTCTTTATCGCGATTTATAAAAAATGGATAAACTACACACAATCCCCCAGCAAAATCCAGTTATAGGACATACTTCTCTTGTAGATTCACACAGAATATCTTCAATTTGTCGTTGTTTATCACTTGTGCCAGTCCAATATTAACACGCTTCATAAATTTTAACTCTGTCTACGGACGTGTAAGGGGAGCGCATCACACATTATTTTTGCTATTGTTTGAGTATGTGCATATCGGACAAGCAAAAGAAAAAGGGATATTTAAATTTCAAATGTTCAAATCATAACAGCAAACTCAAGCTTAAAAAACAATCCTTACACTTGAATTGAATAACAAGTCCCCAAAATTAATCTACATGTCAAGTAATAATTATGACACTTCCCCCGTCATGTCAGCTCAAGTATGCAGTGACTTGACGTCATATTCTATATTGACGTCATATATGGGTGTTGCTAAAACGCGGAACAGAAAACGGAACGGAAAGCGGAACGGAACGGAAAATTTTTGTCCAACAAAAAACAGAGATTCGATATAAATCACATAAAAGAGCAATATTCTTGTTGTAAAAATCATTTCTGATAAAAATTTATTGTAAACTATTATATATTCATGAGTTATACACACCCTCCGTGGAAAAAATTGTATTGAAAGAAATTCGACCCCCCCCCCCCCCACGAAATAGGATTTTCGAGTTTGGGCAAAGACATGTGCCCCTTTGTCAAATTTGTTGTATGTTGGAAATTTTTTACTGAGCCCCCCCCCCCCCTCTTTCAATTTGTTTCCAGTGTCAATGCATGTCTGTTAAAATTAGTTATGATATTCATATTATGCACGCAGTGTCGAATTCGCGAATCATGAAAGGGGGAGTGGCAGTTTCGGGTCTGTGTAGCAAACAGCCACACTAAAAAATGGTCTATTAAACCTTATATATATTTTGGACACAAAAAGGGTGCATACCTATTACAACTTTTCAGACCTTTCCGATGAGCGGGAAAACAAACTCATTGTTTACGGGTCATTCATATAAACCTCCCCCCCCCCCCCAAAAAAAATACATACATATGTACCGCAAACAAACAAAATTTAACTTCATTAAATGGAAAGATTTTGTATTATATCTACCACATGAAAGTTTTCCATCCAGAATTTAAATATATAGAAAGCGACTCTATTTTGAATAAAATTTTAATAACCAGTGTGTATTAGATATGTTTATTCGAGCTTGCCGCTAAGGTTTTCCTTAAACGTAATCTTAACATTTTTATCTCTCTTTCCATGGTTCATCTAGATATAAAATATTTGCCCCCCTCCCCCCCCCCTCCCCCCCAGTCAAAACCTATTTACTACTGAAATGTTCGGACAAGTTGACATCCTCACACTTTTTGTGAATGTAATTAATGTAGTATCAGGGACCTACATGTATATGTATACTAAGTTAGTATAAAGATATCCCTGGTAGCATTAAAGTTAGTGTAAAAAAAATAGTACTGAATTTGAAGATGTTGGAGTTGGAACTTATCCCCCCACCCAAATCAAACAATTGTTTTCTTTTTGTTTTATCCCCCCCCCCTTTCCCGAACCAAACAATTGTCTTCTTTTTGTGTTTTTGCTTGTCAAATACAAATACTTTTCAAGTTCGTTTACTGAGTATCCCCCCTTTTCAAATTCGATTCTAGGTGACTGCTATGTTAACGATTTTCGTAAATAAGAGACTGAGCATGACAAAATCACCTTGTTTTTAATAGTGGGGATTGACTAAGTACAAGATAGATCGTTTATGATAAAATCTGTGTATTTTAAGTGATTTAATCCAAAATAATACATTCCGTTCCGTTTTCCGTTCCGCGTTTTAGCAACACCCGTCATATATAGGTAGTTCAGCGAAGTAAGTACAGTTTGAACAGTTTGATATTTTACGGGCAGCCTTATCCTTGCTGCAAACATTTTTTTATGAAGAAAATCGATGCACAATTATCTTGAGAAAGGTTGCTTCTTTCATAAAAAAAAGACTCTTGCGCCTTCAAGGTCCTTATAATCTCACAATTATTTTCTTGGAATAAAACCGCTGGGGATACAGTGTAATTTCGTTAAATTCAGTGTTTTACTATTACTACTGTAAACAATATTATGTCCAAGAAAACCTTTGGAAAAACTGTTTATATGTTTTTAAATTTAGAGTCCGTCAGATGGGACGTTCAATGGTGCCCCGTGTCAAGGATAACAACCCCCTTGGCACGAAAAAGATCGTTTCTCTGGTTTTCGAAAAAGAGTAGGCTCATTGGGGGCCGCCAGAGAAACCTAAAAATTTCAAAAATGATCATACTTAATTTGATCGCCGAAATATGGCTGAAAAACTGCCGACTCGGCGTAAAACAATAATAATCAATCAATCAATCTTCGGATATTTTGGAGCCTCGTCGACGCTTCTGCAAAAGAGGGACAGTTAAACAAGTTACATAACTGCGAGGTACTCGGGATAATACGTTTTCAAGGAACAGAAAAGAACATTTTTGAAGAAATAAAGATTTATATGTCTTTAATAAAAAGCCAACCTATTATTATCCCTTCTCCCTAAAAAAACAGGAATCATTATATTACAACTAAGCAAATTCTCAAACGTTGTCTGAGAAATAAAATTCAAACACATTTTTGTCCATGAAGCACAAACTTTTTCTTACCAATGCACTTTCCAGTGAATTTATCACAACCATTGGAGGCACCTTGACAAGTGACGGCTTGATTGCATCCCTGACTGTCACATTTGCTGCAAGTTAGATTGCAGAAGTCCCCATAATAACCGATGTTACATTCCGAGCAGGTACCATTTAAACGTTCACAGGTTCCTCCTTTGCACTGTGGGCTGCATACTCCTGAGCAAGTTGGATTATAATAGCGTGGTTTACAAGAGCCTAAACAGACACCAGTAGATCTGTGACAACCAAAGGAATCGCAGTTTGGATTACATATGTCTTCACAGGTGTTGCCAAAATACCCCAATGTACAGCCGTTAATACAATACCCCGTATCTTTGGCACACATACAGTTATTACAAGGCTGACTACAAGAACGGTTACAGGACAATCCATAGTATCCTACTTTACAAGAAGTAATACAAGAGCCATTCGATCTGTGGCAACCAGTAGTGTCGCAATTCGGACAAGTTAAGTCACAAAAGTTGCCAAAATAGCCCACATCACATCCGGTTTCACAATGACCTGAAGGTCGAATGCATTTGTTATCGTCTCCATAGCAAGTTTCCTGGCAGAGCGAAGAGCAGTAATCACCATAACGTCCATGTGGACACGGATTGTCACACATGCCAGTGGCCTGGTTGCAAGAACCATTACAGTACTCCACACATTGATACTCGCATTTATATCCATAATACCCAACATTGCAAGAGCCGATACAGGAACCAATGGAGCGATCACAAGTTCCCGACGAGCATTGATTACTACAATTCTGATTGCAAGTTAAACCGTAAAATCCGTCATCACAAGCATGACAATACCCTGTATCTCTATCGCATGTGTTTTGAAAACATGTCGAACTGCACCTTCCTGTACAGGTTTGGCCCCAAGAACCTATTGAACAATTCTTAGAACAGTAACCAGTATCTTGTTCACACCCATTGGATGGACAATCTCCAATACAAGGCACTGTACAATTAAACCCGTAAAAGCCTACTTTACATTTCAAACATTTCCCAGACGTTCGGTCACACAACTGATTTTCACAATTTGCGTTACATTGAAGATCACATTTAGCCCCGTGATTTCCAGGCATACACGACCCGATGCATACACCTGTTTCGAAAGAGCAACCCTGTGAATCACAATTTGGACATGCGCTTTGACATTTTCGACCATAATATCGACCATTAGAACAACTGAAACAATCACCAGAGGTTTTGGAACAAACGGACCTATTACAGTTTGAACTACAAAACTGGGAACAGTTTGTACCGAAATAACCAGCCTTACATTCTCCTATACAATCGCCATTGCTTTTCTGGCATGCTTCATTAAAGCAACCAAAGAGGCAACGATTTGTGCACATGCTTCCGAAATATCCAGGATCGCATTGGCTATTACAGATTCCACTAGACTTTTCACAGCCAGTTGAATCACAAGTTCCACAAGATTGGTTACAAAATAACCCGTACAACCCAGAGATGCAGTCTGACGTGCATACACCAGAAGTTCGATCGCAAGTGTTAGACGAACATCCAGCGGTACAAAACTTCTCACAGAAATTGCCGAATCTGCCGTCCTGGCAATTACCTGAACAGAAACCCGAATCTTTATTGCAGTTTCCACTGCAGGAACTTGCACAAGTCCTAGAGCAGTAATCACCAAAATATCCATCCGTACAATCACCAACACACAATCCATCGGATCTAGAGCAATATCCAGTCTTACAGTTTGGATTACATGGATTTGTGCAAATGTCTCCATAAAATCCAGGCTTGCATCCAGTTGAACATACTCCGGTGTCTCGATTGCACTTTCCGTCACATCCGGTACTGCAGTTCTTATCGCAGTAAGGTCCATAAAATCCAGTAGGACAGTCGTACGTGCAGTGGCCATCATTACGTTCACAGGTCTCAAGATAACAAGCAGAATTACATCTCTTGTCACATTTTTCTCCAAACCATCCAGCATCGCACGACCCGGTACAGTTTCCTGACTGTCTTTCACACTGACACGCACCGCAAGGAGACTCACAAAGATTGTCATAAAATCCGTTAACACATCCGGTTGTACAGGTGCCGTTTGTATAGAAACAGCTTTGTCCTACACAGAAAGGACTACAGGTATTTTCACAACGTGTTCCCCTGTAACCATGACGACATCCTCCAAAGCAGCTGCCGTTGGTACCGTCACATGAACTTACACAATTTACGCTACATTGGTAACAACTCCCCCCTGCACTGTAATAATTGCTGTCACACCGATCACATTTTTCTCCAATCCAACCAGTATTACAACCACTGGCACAGATCCCTGTTGATCCATCACATGTTGATCCTGACGTTACCGCTTTACATCCCTGGCTACAGGGTTGACAAGTCGTTGATAAGGGGAAGTAACCACTATTGCACCGTGAGCATGACGTCACACCAGATGTTTGTATGCATGTCTGACAATTCGTTATACTACACTGGCCTGTAAGTAGAACTAGATTTTACTGCCTATAAAAGTTTAAAAATTATGAAATGCTCAATGAGAAAGAGGTCTATGAGTGAATCCTCACTAGAAATACCCTCACTCTGATGTGAATATACACTATTTTCAGTTACGAGCAGATGCAAGGTTAAACAGGAAATTTTCGTTAGATTCATATGAAAATAAAACTCACCATATTGCATACTTTCACGTTTGTGCTTAAATTCACTGAGTAGTTGCTGAGACAACTGCAGAGAAAATTTGTTTTGTAAAACTCGTTTAGTACGAACACGGATATTGCGAATATAAGGAAGTCATCTTGGATTCCCAGCTGTATATATTTAATGAATTTCTTATATTGTTACAACGAATTACGGATATAGCGAAGTAATTTTATAGGTCCCAGCGACTTCATTATAACGAAGTTTTACTGTACATGTTTGGTACGGAAAGATGCATAGATAAAAAGGAAATTGACACCGTATTTAAACAAATATAAATCCCACCATATCAACTAGCTTAACATCCTCATTCCCTCGGAAAGGATAATTGCGTCACGGCGTCAGGCTGTATAAGGATTGATATTTCCGAGGTGCGAAGAGAAGAGGTCAGTTAGCCAGCAAAATTTTGTGCATGCTGATTATCACTGGAATTTGTTACCTCCGTTTCAACAAAGCATTTAGCAGAAAAAATAACTAATCTTACTGATACAATATATTGATGTGTTTATTTCCCTTAGTTTTTTTGCATGCAGCTGTTTATTTCAAGCGTTTTTATATACGGACATGTCCGTTTGACCTTTTTTCTGCATTTCTGTACTATTGGATGAGTCCATTTGTCTTCGAGGTAAGGGGTGTCACAATCATTTTGCGCCAAATGTCACGTGTATATCTTCGCGCCCTTTTCCTGGATGATTCTACTGCACTGCGGTGAATGGAAATGAAAACTTCAAGTCTGTTCTTTTTATCGGAATTTCGAACTTTGGGGAAAAAAACATATCGGTGATATTGTGAAAGAAGTTAGAAGTTACATCAATTAAAGTAAATAAAACGAAACGGAATAAATGTTCTTCAGAGGAAAACTGGCCAAATGTAATTAATATTTCTGATTATATCCCTCCCGCATTCGCAGCCCCCCCCCCCCCAGTTTTCGGAGATTAAATTCTTCCTCTTATGAAACACAGAAAAAAGACTTAGGAAAAGTGTCCCTCCTATTTCAGGATTGAGTTATACTAGTATAAGGAATCACCGTCAAGTTCGTTTGGTCATTTATGCATAACGGGCTGTTTCCAACAATCGTTGATGCTCTGGCATACCAAAACAATCTAGTACTTAAACATATTCTGCATGTTAATCATAACGATTTATTTATTTCTTGTAGTATCATATTCTCAGCTGTCTTCCTGGTAGTCTATGCAGCTGAATTTAATTCTAAATTTTAATTTTAAAATCAATATATAATCTTTAAATAGGCACGGCTTTCCAGCACACATTAATTCATTAGTTCATTTCCCTTATTTTATTACTACATCTAAAACCATTATAGAGTTGCGGAATGAGGAGCTGAGCTTTACGTCGCGGGTTCGAATCCACTGCAGGACGTGGAGATGAGACCGTTTAAAACCAATTCCCGAGTCGCAGTAGGTGTTAGCACGAAAAAGATTACATGAAACTGCTCACTGGTCCTGAGTTCGAAGTATTTGTAACACTCCACATGCGTCCTTATACAACAAACGAAAAACAGATCAAAACCAATTTTTAACACATACAAAATATACCTTTTAAATAAAATCTCACTGTTCCTTTTCCATCAGACACGTTACAACAGGGGAGGGGGGGGGGGTGGAGGAGGCTGTCCAACCTTACTTTTACTATATATAGGAAATGTTAGTTGAAAGGTTGGACCCCCACCCCCTGTATATAACAGGAAATTTATTAAAGAGAAATGCAATATTTAATGCTAAAAAAGTTGATACAGAAAGAACTTTACACTGAAAAAAAGTTGGTCAGGGCCCCTACCCCTCCCCCCACCCCCACCCCCAAAATAGGATTTTAAACTTTGGGCATATTCCTTTTTTTTTTTTGCAGGTGAATGAACAAAAATTCTCTAGCTGCCCCCCCCCCCCACTTTCAAAAACGAGGCTGTCCATTGTCTCATAAATAGCAAACAACTGACGTTTTGTTCGACGTCTTCATAATTTACTCTAATGAAATAATTACCCCTCACCCCAATGTAAACGTTTATATAAATAACTTATCATGATTATAGGTTCTATAGATATTGATTGCATTAGTCAGGCAAGCTTTTTTGAAAAGCTATTACTTGTAATTATATTATATATAATAATTTGCAAATACATAGATACATGCTTTAAATCTTACAAGAACTCAAATTAAAGAGTAACATCAGTAAACTAAGTGCTGATCATCAGCATATATCCATTAAAAAATATTTAACTACAGTACATGTAACAATAATATTATTCATTAAATGTGAGTTACCGTATACACCAGATATCACAAGCAAGAAATTAGCTGCAATGACCTTCACTATTCGAATTTTTTTCATGTTATGTAAGCTCTATTCCAGTCTTGTACAGTAATGTCATTGATGCTCTGATAAATAAAAAAAATCAATACAAGTTTAACTCGGTAAATAAAAAAAATTGACATCGCCTTATAATAGAATGCAACATTTATGGAATAGTATAAATATCAATAGGGGAAAAATGTATTGGGGGAAAAAACTCTTAGTGTTAATTATTATCATTCTACAGCCAGTTAATAAGTCAAGGGAATCTAAACAAACTTGAAATTCAACCATACTTACATCATTTTTCCATTTCCAAGAATCTTCGTTCTATTTTGACTCGATTGAGAATAAGTGCCCACAAATTACAGATAGAGGTTGGCAGATATTGTAACCCAACTATACAAAGAGATGAAAGATTTTGTATTAATTGTCAAAATGTCGTTGAAGATAAACATCATTTTTTATTTGCATGTCCTCTTTATAAACAACTAAGAAGTGAATTTTGCTTACTTTTTAATAATACATGTATATCTTATGAAATTCTTAATCCAGCAGATGTTAATTCTACAAGAAATATTTGTAACTTCATACGTGATGCATGTAATATAAGAAAATCTATGTCACTATATATTTTATATTCATTTACTGTCTGTATGACTTGCGCCACATGTAGTTTTTGTCAAATTGAATAAATAAATAAATATTCGCTACATTCACGGTTTAAGAAAAATCAGTGATTTGAAGATTCAGTGAATAAATAATCAATAATATCCATGTTTTTTTTTTTTTTTTTTTTGGAAAATTAAGACTAGACTATGAAAGGTTTATATACCTTTACGTGCAGTACATAGTAATTTTAATAATTACGAGTAGTTCTTGTCATTCAATTAATTTAATTATTACGCTTCACTTTTATTCCAATCAGCAGATGATAACCTGTATTTGTTAAAAAGCTGTTTTAATAACCAGCATTACAAGTTTCATCAATCAAAACACATGGGGTGTGCAACGTGGGTTTTGATAACCCATGATAAACTATGTGTATTTGTTACCTGCATTATCAGGCGTATTAGTTTTATTGACACTTTGGTTTCATAAAATCATTCAGATAACTATCGAACTTAATGAAGATGTGGAAGGATATAATTTCGTCGACCTACATTAACACTTTTTTACTGTCCAGTGGTTATTCTCCGCGTTGAATTGAAAATCTTGGGGTGTACACGAACTCATAGTAATAACATATTAGGAAAGTCATTTGACGTTTATAGTCAAGGACTTCTGATAACTGCGCTGTTTTTAATTAATCGTCAATTATTTTTAAATCTAGCTAATAAAAGATGTTGCACGTTTGCTCGTGATATAATCTTATTGTTCCACATGCCACAACTACTCGCATGTCCAAATATACTAGACATTTTCTTTTCTTGAGTTAACATAAGAATTAATTTTTCAAATATCATGATTTCTTATACAGTTTATAAAGAAGAAAGTGTAAATCATATTTTGTTTTCAGAAATGATGTAAGGCACACCAACATTTATGCGAGTCAATACAGCGAGATCTCTACATTCAAATAGTGTTATAATGGATAGTTAGGTTACACATTTAGTCTCCACAATCTTGTAAGGTATTTTTATAAATAATTACAAAAACACAACAATCTTGTTAAATTTTGAACTTTACCTGAACATTCGTAAGAAGACAATAGTCCCAAACTTTCTTCCTCTGGAAATATATATAGATCGAACTATGTGGGAAACCTGTATGCTTTATGAATTTAGTTGATTGTTTTGAAGAAGACAGGCATGCAAAATAAGTCTTTTTTCAAAACACGGAGATTTAAACTTTAGTTTTTCTGTCGATATAATTAAAAGGCTATGAATTTCGGCGGACGTTTTGTTAATAAGAAGACAAGCTTAAATTATGCAGTAAATCCTTAACTCACACATACATTCTCTCTCTAAAACATTCTCTGCATTTAGATTCGAAACATTTAGAAAATTCACTATTCCTTGATGTTGAAGGTTTTTGAGAAAAAATCGTGTGAATACAAAAAAACGAATACTATTGAAAGAACATGAAATTTTGACTTGGAACTTGTGGCTGCAGGTTTCTATGCATTCACTTCCTTACACAGGACCAATGTTTTAAAGATTCTTGGGTTAGTTTCTTACTCTGGTCCTTTCTATACATGTGCCTATTTGAATTTCTCAAGAGAATCAAACCCGGAGCAACGATCTCGAAAAATCAAAAATTCACCTAGCTATAATGTTTATCAATCTTATAATATAGTTTTATTAGTTCTTTATATTATTTATACATGTAATTAAGTACACAGCAAAGCTGTAAAATTTTCATATGTTAAACCTGTAATTTTTTTTAAATCAAGTTAAGTCTTATTAAATTCAAATGCTTCCTGAACATTTGATAAGCAGATTATATATTGGAAATAAACAAAACAGCCATATTAAATATCCTAATGAATATTTAAGCAAAACGATTTAAACTCTATATTGTCTTTAGGGATCAGTGATCTTGTATTAGGTTTGGTATCATGTGCCTTCTTGGGCTGAAAAATTTAAATAAACAGACAAGTAATTATTAAGGCTTGCCTACAAGCGCATATTTAAAGAAGTGGCAACTTACAAGAAGTTGAAAAATTAGGACA